TTTTCCGCTTGTATAATCGCACGAAGAAGTTGCATGTCTTCGATGAACACGCCACGAGCTTGTGCCCACCACCTTGGCTGTCAACTACGACACGTTTTCTTTCTGCGAGGGCGTAGTCTTGAATTGCGTGTAAAGCCGTCTTAGATGACGAAAACTCGTCACCCACTCTGAGCACTTCTTCACTTGGTTCCCTCATCTTCCAGACGAGTGCGATCGCGTCGATGATACAATTTTCCAAGTGCAGTGACCGTGTGGGTTGGTGGACAGCGTCGGTTTTGGGATTCTAACACTTAACAGTCTCAAAGGCGCTAGGGGCGGTTAGGGCCTGTTAAGATGCCTGTTAAATAGGCAGGTTCTGTTACTTTGCCTCTGATAATAGGCAGGTTTTGTCATTTTCCCTTATTTTTTATTGGATTTGCATATCCTTTCTGCTAAGATTTCGCCTCGTTGTTTACATGTGTTTACTGTTCGTAAGCAGACGATCCCCTCGATTGTCATCCTTATGCCTGGAATAAAAGCTATAAACCCAGCTTAACCCATTTCTTATATTTACAGTATGTGGAAGTCTCAATTGTATCTACAGTACAAGATTTATTGTGCTTTGCCGTCCGCTTTTTTCTTGCGTTTGCTAGTGCACTAATTAGTGTTCGTACTTAGTGTTAAATCATGGAAGCTTTAAATCGGAGTTGCTCAAAGCGTGTTTTCAGCACGGTTTAGCAGAAAATGACTGTCTGGAAGTGCCAAACTGATCCTTATTCGTATTCGATGTCCTAAGTCGTGCATTAAATGCTCAGCCGCACTACCAGCTGCCGGAAAGATGATGCATGATTTGTACTAAATCGTACTCGAGTAGATAATTAGTACTTGAAAAGTCGTACGAATTACAATCGAAAGTGCCAAAAAGTCTGCAAACCACAATATCTTTTTACTGTGCTTTTCATCCATTTTGGGAAAACGGATGGTCCAAGATCCAGTATATCAATTTGTAGGGCTAAGGTAAGGTAGGGGAGGGGAGGAGCACCGAACTTCGGAGCACCGGACATAAAATAAACAATAGAAAAGTCACTAACACACCAAATTTGCAAACACGACGTCAGCGGGAGGTGATGATATAACCGGCATCAACTCTTAGGCCCTGGTTCGTCCGTCTGGGGTTATTTTCGAGCACTACTATTGGCTGGACATTTATCCCTAGTGCGCAAAAATAGTTCATTTAATTACCACCCCCTCGGGTGGGGACACTTATCCCCAGGCTCGATCAATTGCTAAAAAGAACGAACAATGGACAGCGACGAGGACATTAGTGGTTGTCAGAATTAATGTTCAGAAGGTTTTTCAGAACATAAATAAACCAATGACTGATCGTTAACTCTGACAACCCCATTTAGTTCTGATCTCCAGAAGTCAGGCACACATCTCAGCGTTTTTCAAACGCTTTTAGCACCATGCCAAGAATCTCAAACCGTGAACGGCTTCGTCGAGAATTACCACCAGCTTAGCACTCTCAGAGCCGCCGTTGACCAAGCTAAAAACATGCCACACAGCGCCTCTTTTGTCAAACCCGACGCTCGATCCCCCCCCTCCCCACCCCCTTCCACTAAGTATAATTTCCTTCAGTGGTGAGCCAGTCCAGCAAGATCTTCATTGAGCTAGGGCCTCCATTCACGCCGTCGCGGTCCCATAGCACCTTCTTCTTCGCTGCAGGGCTGCTGGTGGTGGCCACTGTAGGAAATCGGCAAGCCACTTTGCAAATAAGTGGTCCACATATCTTTTCAGAAAGCCAACTACAGTCCAAAAGCTCCGGTATCGCTATCTAAATTTTAGATACATTTTAGCCAATGAAGCTGCTTCAACTAGTAGTTATCTCATCTGAAATTCTATCTTAAAGCAACTCTGACAACCACTAATAACAACGCTGCCATGATCATCTTGGAAAGTGTGTCGGTCGCTGCTGCAGCGGTTGCTTCGTCATCAGCCAGAGAGAGCTCTGAGTTTAAAAGAACAGTCACAGAACCCAATTTCGAAAAGTTACTTGCCTCTGAGCGCTATGACGGTTAATTTCGCGATCATCTTCGACGCTCGCAAGTAAACTTCATGCGGCTTTGTGCAATATTTCGTCCTTATGCAAGCTTTAACCCCTTAGTTCCCAGGCTAATTTACGAGGGTATATTTTTTGGCATCCCATATTTGCTTATATAGGAGTTTGTATGCATCGTCGATTAAGTCCGAGTTTTGAATAGCGGGTTGGGGGAACACATTGGGATAGATTGGTGGTTATAGCAAGGGCTTCTCCAACATAAAGTCGCCTTAGGTAGATAAAATGAGTCGATGAAATTGCTAATGACCTCTTTACAAACTTAAAGGCTGTACTGTCTATCGGAAAGACCGGATTTTGCAGCATTGCACACGTCCAGCTGCTGCAGCTGCAGTGGAACAACTACGAATTGTTTTATAATGGCCAATGATGTGGAAGTCAAATAACGGTTTCAATTGATTGCATGTTGTAGAGTCGACGTAGATAGAGCATATACCTACCGGTACACGGCTGTGCCTGCCTCTCTATCATCGTCACCTTCACTGTGATTGGCGTTACCGCCGTCCTTATTCGCACTACCGTCGTCCTCATCCTGCAAATTCCTCCTTCGCTTCTTACCTGGACGCGATGCAGGTGGACGTTCGCGCGTCTTGTGCGCCAGAGGAAGATGAGGAATCTCGTTACCATTCTTCCACTCGATGTGCCAGATGCGAAAGCAGGTATCCCTTCCATCTCTTCCAACATTGCATAAGTATTTCCTGTAACACCATCAACGTTAGATAGTTAGATAGACATTTAGCTCGCGTTGCACACACCGTCGGTTGCCATTGGAGCATTCTGGACAATAATACTTAGTGAACTTCCTGGGATGGACCTTATAGAGGGCGCACACCTTGCATGAACGTTGGCGCCGCTTCACGCCCTTCTCTCCATCAACAGTGTCCGGATTCTCTTCGAGACGGTGGTCTCCGTCAACAACGGGGTCACTTTCCGCTCGTGAAGTCGTTCCTTCCCTTGCTGGTGATGATGCTGTCCGCTCACGCGCATTTGTTGCCTCCTGTTTGACACATAGTAACAACATAAGTTGCGTAAGCGTTCTGTTTATGTTGACTTGGTAGTCAACATAAGATCTTACCTCGATGGTTCTAAACGTCTCGGCGGAATCGATCGCCAGCAACTGCTCCATCAGCTCTTTGAAAAAAGCAAAATGCTTCGGCGGCCTCTTGCCGTTCACCTTTCTGTGGAAGCGATACACGATGAAAGCGTTGACGAGGGCCATGTCGAACAGCCCCAGGAACAACGTCCGGTAGTACTTGCGCGACTTGTACGACAACTGCACACTGTAGCGCTGCATCCGGAGCCGGTCGTGAACGTCGACCCCGCCCATCCATCGATGGTAGTCGCGGATCAAGTCTGGCGCTGGTAGGGGCTTCATTTCGCCTTCAATACGCCTCACTACAACACATGCATAATATCATCTTAGTAAAAGTAAGTGAATAAACCACCAATAACTCAATACTTACTGACTGTAGCCAGTCTTCGGCTGCCACCGCTGGAAAGCAGGTGGACAGGATTCCGATCCATCCCCATAGCAGCTGTAAGCTGAGGGAATCGCTTATTCTGTGCTAGTTTGATAGTGCCCTGGGGCGGCTGCATGATCCGGCGCTTGTTCACGGTTTTGTACTTCTTCGCGGTGACCACTCCCTTAGCGTAACCCGCTCGGTCAGTCTGAATTGTGCCCGTGATGCACATGCGGCGGTGCAGCAGCTCTAGTGCCAACTTGACTGACGTGTAGAACCTGTCTGTCACTACTAGACGCTACGGAGCCGTTGAAGATGGTGGTATCAGTGCGTTCATATTCCGAAGTACCGCCGCTTCGCCGGTATTGTTGTCTGGTGGCACAGGTGTTTGCAGATTAGTCTTGGCTCCGCAGTAAATTTCGAGCCTACAAGACAACACCAAATAATAGCATACGTTACTTTATATTGGATCAACAATGAATGGGAGTTAGTTATGTTGCCTGGAGACAACATAAGCACATAGGCCAAAACAAAAGAAATAGTGCCAAGCCAAAGCTTGCCACAATGCCTTGTACTCCCACCTTATGCAGTACGCCGTTTTCGCGCATGCAGCGACGAATACCTTCGTCCCCCAACGATGAGGCTTGTCCTTGTTGAACTGACGTGTTGGGTTGTACCGAGAACGCGATGGAAGTGTGGCCTCGTCAAAGCTGATCACTGGCGGTAATTTGTATCCACGCGCAAATGTACGTTGTAGCACGTTCACAACAGGTAGGATTTTTCACATCCGGTGTTGGCGGGCTTGAGGCGACTTGTTGTTTGAAAAATGAAGGTGCCCCATAATGTGGAAGAAGCGGTGCTTGGCCATGAACTGCCCGAAACGGTTGGAAGGCAGTGCACCCACCTTCTTCGTGGACCAATGTGCAGCAATACCTTTCCGAATCGGCACCAACATCCTCGCAATGAGGAGTGGCACTGCGTTTGGTTGCTGTTGCATGAGTGCAACAGCGGCAGCTGTTTGCTGAGCCAATTCTTGCACTTGGCCAACTGCACCAATATGAGCTTGCAACTCTGTAATGGCAGCAGCAGTCCGCGAAACCGCGTTCTGAAACTGTCCAACTGCAGCCGTGTTCTGCCTGGTGGCACCTTGCGTCGTTGCGACGGTCTGCACTAAAGATTCGATACCCTAAGGATTCTGTCCAAGCGGTGGTTGACTTGGGCAATACGTTCATCCATCTCCATCATAGTCGATTCCACATGTTCAATTCTACCTCTAGTCGCGTCAACAGGGTCATTCTCGAAAGCAAGTTGACGCGCAGTAGCTTGTCGGCGAGTTTCCATGGTCGTCGGACTGCCAATTCTACTATGTCACAATAGCGTCGTCACGCTATGATATGGTAGCACTTAGCAGAGGTCGGGTTACTAACGGACTCAGGCAAGATGCCTTCGCAGTACTCTGTCAGTTGCTTTGCTAGTTAGCAGGTAAAATGAGATCTGGTTGAATTTAGACGCTTCACTAACTAGTCTGCGCTAAAGCTAGTTAGAGCTATTTGCTCAGTTGCTCTTGTGTTTCTTATACAAACATGTAATGCTGAATGTGCAACTTGAACGTAGTCTTCAACTCCAACACGCATTCAAACTGCACAGCCAACAACGAATCACAGATGCCGTGTTCAATCCGCTAGTAATTGCCGTGTTCAAGGCGTTATTTACGCGCTTGTACTTGAAGAAGCAGTTCCAGCATCGATTTCAGCCTTCGTCTTGAAGATTCCGTGACAAGTCATGTTTGCCCTCAATAGAGTCAATGGGATAGCGCGTGACTCTACTGTCCATCGGCTTCTCCACTACGAGCAAGCTCCAATGATGCAGGCCGGAAATAGGCATAAGAACGAATGGATAAGCAGTTCGATTATAGTCTAACCGGTTACCGAATATACCGACCAGTCCGATTATTGTGTAACGGCTATCGAATATTGTGACGGGGTCACACAGCACCTTGCGCTGAGGAAGTAGGCTTCCAAGAGTATACAAACTCTAAGTGAACGACCGTTCACGTGTCCCTGGTCTGAGGGGACGAAGTACTCACTTAAGGGTACGATTAAGACTGATTTTTATTTATAGGTAAACTTAACTCAGTTTCTAATACAAACTATAAGTCACCTATAATGAAGCTATGTAGATATGCAATGATCGGCTCCTAGAGCCCCTGGTACCATGTACCACGTATTACAAGAGTGACTGGTCACTCTTCATGTAACTTGGGTACACTGGGGGCTCGTACCCCGTTACAAAATATGGGTGTTCGCTTAGGACAGGGGCGATGCGGTAAATTGAACCCAACACCAGTTGGTACTTGACAGTTATATACAGTAAACCTCTTCTTAAATGAACCCTGAGAAGCCTGATATCCTGTCCTATATGATAGAATTTTGGTCTGTCGAGTCGGTTCCCAGATATTACGGTATGCTGTAAACTTGATACTATAGCCGATATTGATTGCACAAATGTCAAATCTGATACGAAGTTTTGGGGACACTTTCATTCAAGGTTATATATTATAGTCAAGGATACGAAGTGGCAGTGGGAAAATTGTGCAATCGCTACCGGCCTTAAGGCTATTCATGTATGTTTTTCTTGTCTCGATGTGAAAAAGAGAAATTATACGGTAACCAACAAAAAAGTGACATTAGTCTGGACTAAATTTTAGTCTACGCTTTCAAAACAGTCGAAACCAGCATTTGTGTCTTCGCAAGTAGCCCAGAAGCTTAGTGTACCATATTTGACACGAGCGAATCCCTGTTGTGAGACTGCGAGTGATTTGCATACCTATATTCATATATGTAATTTGGGTTTGATAATGCTGTGTGCCTCTGCAGTCGGAAGTTAGCGCGCACAGAGAATGGCATTTCCGGCTTCACTAAGATGTCGTACTACCACGCCTCATTTATATATGCACCTTATATTGGCCTGTTGATCTCAGCAAATGTTCGTGTACTCGACGCGAGGGAGTAACATGCTATATTGCTATTTCTGATATGTACTTGTCCACCGGTCATATCAGGTAGGAAAGGTTTTACTGCACATGTACCGACCCTTTCGGCTGTTTATTCCCCTCCCTCCCCGGTCGGTATTCATAGGAACACTCGCTAGGCAACAGAAAAAGCTGAAGTTAACACAGTGGTTGCTGGATTGTCCAGGTCTTTTCGATCAGATATGATGCATCGGCCCCTGTTCCCCTGCAGTTCTCAACCCGACTTTTAGCTTCTGTGTAGTAGTTGGTAAATGTACAACACCGTAACAGTAAACATCAAACGCACGGAAAAGTGTCAATAGAGGGCACAATTTGCATCAAAGTAATACTAGTGCCGAGTTGCGACGAAAGAAAAAAATGTTGATGAGCTCATTTTTACATCTGATCTAGGCGGAGCCCAATGAACAGGCGGAATTGTCACCACCACCAAAAGTATTCTTCCACCATGATTTCATATGGCCCCACCAGCCTCCCGTACACGATTCAATGTTTTCGTTCCCATTCGATGCTGACTTCTTCGTCTTCGTGGAACTTCCGCTTTCCGAGTTGCCATCGTCAGAAGACGAAGACAGCAAGTCACTTAAGCCACTTCCGTCATCACTCGATTTCAAAGCACTGGAAGCACTGTTGCTCGAGAGCAGATCGTCCAAGTCACTACTGGAGAATAGGTCGGCCAAGTCACTATCAGAGGAGCTGTCGCTTGACACAGAACTGCTCATGTCGGTTCCCGGCTCACTTGATTCCGACGAGGCTGTCATCGGGGTAACCTTCTTTTTCTTCTTTTTCGGTGCATTGGTGGATTCAAGAGAGGAGCTAGCGCTTCCGGAGTCACTGTCACTTGACGAGAGCAGCAAGTCGTCCAGACTACTTCCACGCAAGGAGCCGAGCATCGCATCCAACTCGCTACCGCTCAAAGATAGCAAGTCGTCGAGTCCGCTGCTGCTCATATCAAACAAGCTGTCCAAATCGCTCAATCCGCTGGCATCGGTGTCCGATCCCGAGGCGGAGGTGGTTGCTTGTTTCTTTTTCTTCTTCGGAGCCGCCGTTTCGACGTTACTTCTCTCTTCACTGATGTCACCAAAGGACATTAGATCACGAGCGGTATCGGCAGACACGAAACCGTCGCTGGCAGCATACAGCGTAACACTAGCAGGCAGAACAAGGTCGATTATACGCATAATTCTTGATTGCTGCAGCTAAGCCTTCAGAACGCAAATTTCGAACTGGGCTCGCCCTACAGATAGCGGAGCGTTTCGTTATCTTCGGATAGGAACTCGTCGCCCAGTCGACGTGAACTGAACTCAATACATCAGTGATGGAAAAACCAGTGGTTGCAAAAACCAAAAAGGCCAAAAGGCCTGGTTTTTATGGTTGCACAACCTGGTTATTTGGTTTTATGTAAAATGGTGTACAACCAATTTGCTCAGCAGGGAGTCACTCAGGGGAACTTCACCTCGACCACGGCAAACTACATCACCTCCGCTGGAAGACCAGCTCGGCCTCCCTGACCACGTCTCGTTGCTTATCCTCGGCATTGGCGCTCGCGTTGGCCACGACCATATATTCTTGTCGTGCACACAGATCTGCTTCACGTTGGCGCCTTCATGGCGCCAACGCGCGCCTGCATATGGGTGTTGCT